CATCATCATCATCATCATCATCATCATCATCATCATCACATCATCATCATCATCATCATCATCATCATCATCATCATCATCATCATCATAATCATCATCATCATCATCATCATCATCATCATCGTCATCGTCGTCATAATCATCATCATCATCATCATCATCATCAGCATCCGCAGCATCATCATCAGCATCACCCTCAGCAGCATCATTGTCATCATCATCGTCATCAGCATCATCAGAATAATCAGCATCATCTTCATCACCATCACCATCATGACCATCATCATCATCATCAGCATCACCATCATCATCATCATCATCATCATCATCATCATCAGCATCATCAAACATCATCATCATCATCATCATCAGCAGCAGCATCATCACCATCATCATCAGCATCATCAGCCCCATCATCAGCATCGTCATCCGCATCATCATCAGTATCATCATCAGCATCAGCATCAGCATCATCATCATCATCAGCATCAGCATCATCAGCATCTGCATCAGCATCATCATCTGCATCAGCATCATCATCATCATCTTCATCATCGCCATCGTGATCGTCATCAGCATAATCAGCATCATCATCATCCTCAGCAGCATCATTATCATCAGCATCATCAGCATCAGCATCATCATCATCAGCATCATCATCATCAGCATCATCCTCAGCAGCATCATCACCATCGTCGTCATCATCAGCAGTATCAGCATCATCGTCATCATAATCATCGTCATCATCATCATCATCATCATAAGCATCATCAGCATCATAATCATCAGAATCATCATCATCATCAGCATCAGCATCGTCAGCATCTGCATCAGCATCATCATCTGCATCAGCATCAGCATCATCATCATCATCATCATCATCATCATCATCATCATCATCATCGCCATCGTGATCGTCATCAGCATAATCAGCATCATCATCATCCTCAGCAGCATCATTATCATCAGCATCATCAGCATCAGCATCATCATCATCAGCATCATCATCAGCATCATCCTCAGCAGCATCATCATCACCATCGTCGTCATCATCAGCAGTATCAGCATCATCGTCATCATAATCATCGTCATCATCATCATCATAAGCATCATCAGCATCAGCATCATCAGAATCATCATCATCATCATCATCATCATCATCATCATCATCATCATCATCATCATAATCATCAGCATCATCATCATCACCATCATCATCATCCTCATCATCCCTCCTCCTACTCCTCCTCCTACTCCTCCTCCTCCTCCTCCTCCTCCTCCTCGCTTCCCGCCTACTCCACCTCCTCCCCCTCCTCTCACCCCCTCCCCCTCCTCCTCCTCCTCCTCCACCTCCACCTCCCCCCTCCCCGTACCCCCTGCCCCTCCTCTCTCCTCCTCCAACTCGCCCCATCTCGGCGACAGGCGATGCCTCATGATCGTCCCGGCATCCACGGGGTGCCGCGCCACCCGCGACGACGTCGCGAAGATCTTGGCCGTGCGCTTGCCCCAGTACAGCGGCCTCTCTGGGGAGGAGGAGCAGCAGCAGCGGGCAACGGGGGAGCAGGTGCGGAAGGGGACGAGGGAGGCAGGGGGGAGCTCAGGGGGGAAGGCGGATCTTCGCAGGCTTGTTGCTTGCAGCTCTCGCACGTCATCGATGGCTTTCTGGGGCTGGGGTGCTTTCCATCAGCATCTCCTCCAACCGCCCCACCCAGTCTCGCACCTGGCCACTTCGAGGACTTCCCCTACAAATGTGGCTTCTCGTTTTGCGCCGAAATTTTGCCAACGCCATTCCCGCTTACACGGGGTACCCAGTCTTCCTGCCATCTGATCTGGCCCGAAGGATTTCCTCTTCGAGTCTCGATACCTTCTGCGAGCCGCAATTCTGATGCGCCACCCCGGGACCCCAGACTTCCTGGTGTCCCTCGGCACCTTCAAGGTCTTCCACCTCGAGCTGGTGAGCGGTTTTTTATTCGGCGTCTCGACATTGGGCGGAAGGGGGGGGGAGAGGGGGGGTCTGGCTCTGGAACTCTGTTTAGTGCGACTGTTTGCGACAGTGCGTCCATTATGGGGGGAACCTCCACCACCTGCTCGAAACAGGCGCCAAAAACAGCCAAGATTCACTCCATAGGGGGGGAGGGGGGGGTGCGAGGGTCCGCGCCGATCAATCGGCAAAACAATCGATAAAAAACGATCACCTGGTGGCCCGCTGCTTGGACGTAGCTCTACTTCGGCACTCCCGCACCGGCCTCCACGAGTCTGACCGACCAGGCCCCTCCTGGCTGGCCCTCGCTCTCTTCCTCGCTCGCTTTCGTGCCTCACTTCGCCTCCTCTGCACCCCACCGCTCGCTTTGACCAGCGCCTGACCGTCTTGCACCACCTGTCACTGCACCGACCTTGCAGACGTGCTGCAGCGGATTTTTGCTTGGATTTCCGTCAATACAAAACCCCGAAACAGCGAGCGAAAAACGAAGTGAATTTCACGAGGATGTTTCAGTCTTCATTCCTGGCAAAAAAAATCCGCACGAAATTCACTTCGAAATCCGGAACGGAATTCTCCAGGACACACCTGGCCCATCCAATTGTTTTCCGAGCGAAATCCGCTCTGCGATGCTGGCGCCATGACACCTGGCACCCGAGGACTGAAAGGCTGTCCAGCTATACCAGCCAGTTCGAGCACTTTACGATTCCCTCCCAGCTGCTCCACGGCAATGAGGAGGGGACGTCGGGCCGAACTCCGTGATCGGGTACTGCTTCAATGATGGGCCTTTTTCCACCACCACCACCACCATGAGTTGGAGGGGAGACGGAGGAGGACGAGGAGGAGGAGGACGAAGAGGAGGAGGAGGAGGACGAGGAGGAGGACCCACTCCCTCTCCAACTTGCGGTGGTGGTGGTGGAAAGCAGGCCCATCATTCAACGACAAATCCCCCCCTGGCGCCCGAGGACCAAAAGGTTGTGCAGCTGCTGCGCCTCATCGGCAGCATTCTGGGGACGCCGGAGTCGTCCCAGACGGCCCGTACAGCTGCCAGGCCCGAGTCTTTATGCCCCGAAGACCAGGAGAAGGAGGAGAAAGAGGAGGAACAGGAGGAGGAGGAGGAGGAGGAGGAGGAATAGGAGGAGGAGGAATAGGAGGAGAAGGAGGAGGAGGAATAGGAGGACGAGGAGGAGGAGGAGGAGGAGGAGGAGGAAGGGCCCTGTAGAGGCTAGCGTTACCCTCGCCCCGAGGGCTCGAGGGACGAGCCGCGACGGCTGGCCTTCCCCTGTGCCCTCGAGCACGGTTTGCCATGGAGGTGTCAACCCTCGGCAGTCGGGAGAACTTCGTGCAGGAGGTCAAACAAGGAACCCCTTCCTCCTCCTCATCACGCTCCTCATCACGCCGCGGCTGTTCCTCGTCGTTGCATCGCGGGCTTGGGCGCAGCTCTGCTGGGTTGGTTGCTGCGCACTGTATTCCAGGTGGGATGTCGCTCAGCTATTTGGGAATGGGAGACGAGCCCAGGGCGAGGGGAGGAGGAGGAGGAGGAGGAGGAAGAGGAGGAGGAGGAGGAGGAGGAGGAGGAGGAAGGGCCCTGGGGAGGCTAGCTTTCCCTCGCCCCGATTGCTCGAGGGACGAGCCGCGACGGCTGGCATTCCCCTGTGCCCTCGGGCATGGTTTGCCCTGGTGCCTTATGGGCTTCAGAGGAGGAGCTCTCGGCGTGGCGCCTGCGATGCGGATGTGGCCGTTGGCCTAGGCGTGGGGAACGTTCTCTTATCCAGCGTTTCGACTTTGGGCGGAAGGGGGGGTGGGAGGGGGGTGGTCTGGCTCCAGACCTCTGCTTAACGCGACTGTTGGCAACAGTGCGTCCTATCGGGCAGACTCGACATGCTGGAAACAGGCGCCAAGAAACAGCCAAGATCTACCTCATAAGGGGGGGTTAGGGGGGGGACGAGGCCCCGCGCCGACCGGCAAAACAATGAATAAGATACCTATCACTTCCTGCGTGGTCGCTCGCTACTGTTTGGTGATATGTTTGGTCGTGTTGGTGCTGGTGGAGATGCGATTCCATGTTGTTACCGCGGCTCGGTCTCGTCTCTGGTGCGGCTGGCTACGCCTATTGAGTCTTGTTGTATGCAGATACATCGTGGATGGTGTGGCAACCCTGGCAGGTTGGTTTTGGCTCAGTATTCGATAAGGTGCTATCAGCGTGCAGCTCGCCATATACAGTGAGACTATTGTTGGAGTGGGCATTTCTCGTGCCCCACAACGGATGACATCGCATTGGATTGCTTCATCTAGGTCGTTTTCGCCATTGATTGGTTCGTGTTCGTGGTATTTAACTGTTGAAGCACCCTCCAAAACAGAACGAATTTCATCGCTAGCATCACCACCACAATCATCACCACCACCACCATGATCATCATCAACATCAGCAGCATCATCACCACACCAACAAATTATAACAATAGTAATGATAATCATGGTCACAACAAGAAAAAAAGATGCATATGACGAAGAAGCAAAAACATCGTCATCATCAGTATCAGTATCATCATCATCACCACCACCACCACCACCATCATCATCATCATCATCATCATCATCATCATCATCATCATCATCATCATCATCATCCTCATCGTCATCATCATCATCATCATCATCATCATCTTCATCATCATCAGCATCATCAGCATCATCAGCATCATCGTCATCAGCATCACCATCGTCATAAGCATCATCGTCATCATCGTCATAATCATCATCATCGGCATCACCACAACATCAAATAATCATCATCAGCAGCAGCATTAGCATCATCAGCAGCAGCATAAGCATCAGCATCAGCATCAGTATCAGCATCATCATCATCATCATCATCATCATCATCATCATCGTCATCGTCATTGTCATTGGCATTGTCATCGTCATCGCTATCGCCGCCTTACCTACATATAATCATCATCACCCTCATCACCACCATTATCATCCTCATCCTCATCATCCTCTTCATCATCATCAGCATCAATATCATCATCATTATCACCACCAGCATCATCACAATGATCATCGCCTCCCAACGCAGCGCATTACATCAATTCCTTCTGGAAGAAGACTGCCCCAAGACAGGGTCGTGCCAAGATTATGTGCACCTCCGCCAGCGTCTAACGACCTCCCGCTGGCCTCCGCCAGGAAGGCGGAAGTCAACTCATCGATTCCCGCAAGGCGAGGCCCTTCCTGAAGCGCCCTACCAAAATCTCTGGTGTCTTGACTTGGTCAATACGGGGACCTCGGAAGTCCCACCTTTGAGCCGTTGTTCCCCTGGCTCGGAGCCCGAAGACTGCCCAGGGAGGAGGAAAACACGACAACACACAATGCGTCTTCACTTGTGCCAGAAATCGGGCATCGGGCAGCCGCCCAGGGCGACTCGGGCCCCCCTCGAAAGCTCTCGGAGAGGCGCAGCTGCTGGAAAGCGTCCTGAGGGTGGGAAACCTCCAGGAGCCAAGTAAAACGTGCACAAACCTCGAACGACGCCCTCAACCTCGAATCCTCGAAGCGCGGGATGTCTGTAGAGGACGGATAAACAGTACGACTGTGAACTTTCAGAGGCCCCACCAGCCCCTTTGGGCGCAGGTGGTGTAACGAGTTTTTCTTTTCCTCTTCACAAGCCCCTTTTTCCTCCGGGAAGGGGTACCTTTCCCTCGCCCTCCTCTCCCTAAGGCTTGTTGGGGGCGGTTCCGCACTGTGTCAGAAGGCGCCTTCTTTCGCCCACGACGGTTCCAAGAAGGCTTCCGATACTGCAGGATGACCTCCAAGATGGCTCCGGACAGCCGAGGATGGCTCACTATGGTCTCCAACATGCCTTCACGAGGCCCCAAGAGGGCCACAAGATGGTTTCAAGTGCTCTCGGACACCCCTCAGGACTCAGGACCCCCCCAAGAAGCCAAAATCGCACATTTACACACAAAAAGGGATGGTCGTATTGCGTTCGGCGTCTGATGCTGACGCCTCAAGATGGCCCTCAGATGGCCCAAGAGAGGCACAAGAGGCCCCCAAGACGGCCCCCAGACCGCGCATGAAGCGCCCATGGCGGCCCCATAAGGGCCCCCGGAGGCGGTTTTCAGGACCCCAGATGGGGGAATGACTTAAAGCACCCCCACTCCGTTCATCGATGGCTCCCAAGATAATCTCAAGAGGCTCTCCTGGGCTCCCAGCAGGGCCTAAAGACAGCTCCAAAATGGCCCCAGGAGGGCCCCAAAGCACCCAGAAGGACACCGCGGGGACCCCATGACTCTCATAAGAGCCCCCAAATTGGCTCCGGGGACCCCCCCCACTCCTTTGATCGATGCTCTCCAAGATTGCCCAAAAAAGCCCTCCAGGACACCCGAGAGGCCATGAAGAAAGCCCCAATACCGAAGCCGCCGCAAAAAGAGCCCTAAGAGGATCCCAAGACGTCCCAAAAGAGCCCCAAACGGGCGCCCCCGTCTTTGTTCCCACATGTATCTGATCACCCCAACTCGCCTGGGCATCGTCCCTGGGTGGGT